TAAAAAGTATGAAGGTCCAAGGGATGTTGGGGATTTGGGCTCCCTAGCATCTGACCCTATCCTCTTCAGGAGTCATATATCTGTTCTTTCTCTTCTAATGGCTAAGGCATGACTGGGCCAATGGGATGCTTCCCCCTTCAGAGAAGCAGGGGGAGCCAGAGATGCCCACCCTGCCAGCAGCGGCCTAAGGATCCAGCACCCAGAGTCCAGGTAGCCAGTGGTGGTCTGTTTCTCACCTATGTGTCTTCTGACCCTGGTCCCAGCTGCCTGACACTTCTTGCTTCCTGCCTATTTTCTCAGTCTGATTTTACAGCTACCTGTGAGTCCCTTCTCTGTTAGGATTAATCAAGGTTAGATTCTGCTTTGGCACGCAGAGTCCTGACGGGTCCAGAAGAGAAAGTGAGATGATAAGGCCGGAGAGAGAAATGGGAGACTGACTGATGAAGGCCTTGAATGCCAGGCTAAGCATCCTTTTGGCCAGTCGTTCTTTTTTTTTTTAAGTAGGCTCCATGCCCGACGTGAGGCTTAAATTAAACTCACGGCCTTGAGATTGAGAATCACGTACTCTACCGACTGAGCCAGGCAGGTGCCCGTAGGCCCGTGGTTCTTAATCGGGGATATGCTTCAGAATCACCTGATGCATTAGTTAGATATGGCTGCAATAATGCTGCATAACAAGTGAGTCCATGAGGCATATGACAGCAAAGATTTCTTTTTCTCACTACAGGTCTGAAAACCAACTGGGGTGACTGATGAATCTGAGTAGAATTGGCTGAGCCAGACTAGGGGTTGGGTTCATATCTGCTCTGCGTATCTCTCATTTGGGGACCCAGGCTGAAAGGCTATTTGGGGCAAATCCTTCACGGTGAATAGTAGAAGTGTGAGAGGGAGGGGTGGAAATACGAAATGCCTCTTACGGCCTTGGCTTGGAACTGGCACCGTGTCACCTCTGCCCCTATTCGACGGGGCAAGACAAATCCCACGGCCAAGTCCTGCCTCCTGGGTATGGGAGAGCCTCCTCCGCTCACCGTGAATCGTTCAGAGGTAGACAAGGAAGAGCCGTGGACAAATCGTTTCATCTACCACACCAGCGGTGTTTCCACAGTCTGATACCCTAATTCCAAGCCCTCGAGTGGAATATCTGTATTTTGAAAAAACCGTCCCAGTCATTCTGATGCACACTCCCTTGGGGTATGTCCTCCTTCTGTGGACAATGAGAAGCCATTGAAGGCTTTGAGCAGAAGCAGGACATCATCAGTCCTGCGCGTGGGAAACGGCTTTGGGCAATAGACGGATGTGGAGGCTGGGACATCAGTCGGTGAGCGTGTGGTTGCCTCTGAGCCAGAGGAGACGATGAAGTCTTGAGCCTGGAGTTCAGGTACGTCTGCTGTGTCACAAGGCACCATAAAACTCAGTGGCTCAACGCAGCCACCGTTTCATTGTCTCTGGTGATTTGAGGGGTTCGCCGGGCTCAGCGGGGACAGTCTTGCTGGACGTGATGTCGACAGGGACCCCAGTCATCTGGGGACTCTCTTATGTTAGACACTCACAATGGCCGTTGTTGCTGGCTGCCGGCTGGACACTCAGCCAGGGCTGTCTGCTGGCATGCAAACATGACCTCTCCATGTGGCTTGGGCTTCTGGCATCGCGGCTAGGTTCTGAGAGGGAATGTTCCAGAAGCAAACATTCCAAGTGGGAGAAAACAAGAGCGGCTCACCACTGCCACCATATACTCTGTTGGTTCAATGGTCACAGGCCAGCCCAGACTCAGGGGGAAATAAGCAGCTCTGCTTAACAGGGACAGTGACAAGTAGGGACAGTGACACATAAGAGTGGCCATCGTCAATCAGTCACACCTGGGCGGCGGCAGTGTGGAGGGAGGGGCTGCAGATCTAAGAGAATGGACGCAACGTGGCACCTCATGGGTCATGGAAGGAAGAACGGAGATGCCCAGAAAGCCTGGCCCTGGGGGTTTGTCAGGGTGGCTATGGGGATCTCACGTGGAGTGGCTCCTCTGTCATGTATTATGTTCCCCGGGAGGGATGGCAACGGTTTTCCTTTATCCTTGGAGGCCCAGGGCCATCTGGAGAAGGGGGTCTTCTGGTTCTAGTCACCAGGAGACAATCCAAAAATCATCTTCCTGAACACTGAGACCAGGCCTCGGAGGGCAGCCCCGGATCAGAGTATGATACAGACTTTTCTTTTTCTTTTCTCAACCTCTGGCTCCCTCACAGCTTTCCTTCAGATCTGTGGCTTCTGGTCTCCATGTTCACCCGTGTCACCAAGGACGGTTGCTCGCTGGCCACTCAGATTGCTCAGTCTCTCATTCCTGTGTCTCTACTGTTTTCTATTTCCCTTTCCCCGGGGCCAATTTCATGGGGTCAAGTCTACCCATTTGTGCATTGGAGGGTGGAGTTAGGAGGATATTCTGCCTTCCTCAGGTAAGATAATGACTCCTGTTCCCTGCTTCCTTCCCATCCAATGCCTTGTTCCTTCCCATCCAATGCTGTGGTTGGGGGTGGAGCCACCACTCAACTCCATCAGGCCACAGGGTTGGTTGGGCACCTGACTCAAGTTGGACCAACCAAACGCCTGTAGTGATTGGTTCAGAAATGTGCACATGACCCACCCTGGACCAATCAGAGTCCTTCCCCAGGATTTTTCTCTCCTGAGCTGGGGAAGAATAATTCTGTTTTCACGCTGAACACAAGGTTGTTTGGTTATAAGTCTGAAGCTGCTCATGATCTGTCTTCCCAGTACCTGGGTTATGTGACCTCATAAACTAACTTCTTTCTTTCTTTCTTTCTTTCTTTCTTTCTTTCTTTCTTTCTTTCTTTCTTTCTTTCTATTTATTTATTTATCTTGAGACAGACAGCATGAGCAGGGGAGGGGCAGAGAGAGAGAGGGAGAGAGAGAGAGAATCCCAAGCAGGCTCTGGACTGCTGTGGAGCCTGACGCCAGGCTCGAACTCATGGACCGTGGGATATTTACCTGAGCCGAAACCGAGAGTCGGTCGTTTAACCGACTGAGCCACCCGGGCGCCCCAAGCCCATACATTTCCTTTCTGCTTGGGCTACTTTCAGTTGGGTTTTGTCACTGCCGTTTACAACCAAAAAGTGCTAAAGAAAACATTATTTTTTGGTGTTTTCATGAATGACAATGATGACGGCGATGACGATACGATGGTCCCTTTTATCACAGGTCTGTTATTTGCAGGCTCTGTGCCGAGTGTTTGCACACATTGGCTGGTGATTCACCTTGGTCTGTGGTTATTTGCATGCACGGTGACACTTCCCATGTACCTAATCTCCTCTCTTCGAGACTGGGTTTGTCCCAACACTGTGTAGGGCACCCAGCTTGGTGCCTGTCCCACACGAGGTGTAGGGCAGCCTGATGACAGCTCCTCAGCGGGTCACCTCCGACTTAGCGTTCGGTGTGACGTGAACGGGGTGGTCAGTGCAGATGTTCTGTTACCGCACAGATTCCACAGGCCACCTGGGTTTGGTCCTCTGGCCAGAAGTTGTGTGGGGCCTGATCTTCGGGAGGTGGCTGCCTAAAAGTGGAAAGGACCCCCCCTCCAGCGCCTCCTGCAAACCCAAGCCTCAGTTCCTCCTTCCCTATTAGTATGTTGACAGCTGGCTCCAGAATTCCTTCTGGGGACGGTGAGGAACCGTGAGGAACTGTCCATTTCTACTAAGTCACTTGGGCTGGAGGCGAGACCTCCCCAGGGCTCCAGCTGGGGGTTCACATGGAGGCTGGACAGTTGGCACGTGGAGGAAGAGGTGACATCTACACCGGCCCTGATGGATGAGCAGGGGCCCGGAGTGGAGAGGGTAGGGGGCAGAACAGCAGAGAGAGGGCATGGCCTCAGGAGCCTGCTCGGGACTCTCTCTCTCTCCCGCTCTCTCTGCCCCCCTCCTCCAGATAAATAGGTAAACTTAAAAGACAGGAAAACCTGCTAACTTGAACGGAGAGCCAAGGTTACCTTGACTTTCCAGAGGGACCACAGCTTTCCTCTGTTTAAAACCTTATTTATTGTGATCTTGTGCCCATTGTCTGGGTTTTGGGTGAGGCCCAAGAGCTTTTCAGCGGTTTGCTAGTCCTCTGTCTGCCCCCCTGGACCATCTAGGCCCCCTGCATGCTCTTATGCAGACAGGTTAATGTTTAGGGGACGAGAAGGAAGAAGATGGGGCGGGGCTCCCAGGCCCCATTCTCAGTCCTCTTCCTTCCTTCCCTGCCCGGCCCCCCCCCCCCAGACATCCAAGACTCAGCATGTGACGACAGAGGACAGCAGGTACTATGGGCCCCACCTCACCTCACACAGTGTGGGACCTCGGTCACCTTCCTCCTACGTCGTAAACACCAAAGGTCGACAGTGACGTGCAGCCTGGTGAATTCTTGAAAGATGGTCTGATGCCCGATGAAACTGAGAGCCATGCGAGTGTCTATGCAGGAGGGAGGCCTGGCCCATCCTGAGCATGGTTCCCATGGTGGGAGGTCACAGAGGTGATGTTCTTGACGACAAGGCAGCATGAATGATGGATCACGTCTGTGGAGAGCCCACCCTCAGCGGGGGAACTGCAGACCATTTTACAGACGGAGGAAGTGAGGCCAAGTATCCAGCCAAGGCCGCTCAGCTGGCAGGTCAGGAAGGCAGAGCCATCTCGAATAGCCTAGAATCCCTCTCCAGTCGTTTCAGCATGTTCCTTTCTTAGCTGTAATCCCCATACACAGATGAGAAAACTGAGGGCAGATATGGGAGACAGGAAGCACTGATGCTCTGCATGGTCTTGGTTTCCCTCGGGTACCCACGGAAGGCAGGAGGTCTGGGTAAAGGAGGGACTCGTTTCTTCACCAGAAGCAAGATTTGTGCCGGGAAGAAGGGTCTCAGGGGAGGCCTCAGACTCAACATTCCTTGGCTGAGCCCCAGGCTTTTACATTGATAAACACTTAATTTGTCATAATTTTTTCTACCATGGGTTGGCATGTACAGTTGCACAATGTACACACTGCCCAACTTGAAGCGTTATGTGGGCATAAACCTGGACGACCCATCTTGCAGTACGCAAGGGCTTGGCTGGCAAGCAGTGGGAAATCCAGTCTCTGCAACTGTGTTGGGAAGCTCCATTCCTCTCCTTGAACCTGTATCCTCATCTACAAAGTGGAAATGATAATCAGAGTCCCTTCATTTCCAGGGGGTTGTAAGGATCATGTGGGATGACAAAATGCCCGTAACCCTTCACACAGGGCCTGGCAACAGTGGGCTTTCAGTACAATTTAGCTTCTCACACTTGTCTGCTTGCCTGGTCAAGGGCAGGCAGGAGCCCCACCTGGTTAATTCCTGCATCCTTCCTGCCCAGCCTGGTCCCGGCACATTGGAGAAACTGGGTACCCCTTTGCCAAGGAACTGAAGGAATAACATTAATTGGGGGGACACTGGAGCATCAGGCACCGGGCTGGCATTGCCACCCCTAGTTTTCCCTTTTGGAGAGAGCCTGGGACCGGGTCTGAATTATTACCTTCCCTCTCCAGTGTTCATTGTCTCTGGATGAGTTTACCTAAGCAGAGGGTGAAACTAGTGACCACAGGCTGGGTTCCCGTAGGGATGCATGCTCCCTATGGCCTGTGCCGCACTTAAAATCTTTACAACTCGTGGGGCACCTGGGTGGCTGAATCAGTTAGGCCTCCGACTCTTGGTTTCGGCTCAGATCATGGTCTCACAGTTTCGTGAGCTCGAGCCCCATGTCGTGCTCCACGCTGATGGCGTGGAGCCTGCTTGGGATTCTCTCTCTCCCCTTCTCTCTCTGCCTCCCTCCCCACTCGTGCTGTCTCTGTCTCTCTCGAAAATAAATAAATACACTTAATTTTTTTTTTTTTAACAATTCATGGCCAACTTAAAAAATTTCGAAGATTTCATTTAGAAACGTGGATTCACAGCTCCTTTTGAAAAATCCAAAGATCTAGCAGCTCCGGGCCCTCGGGTGGTAGCTGGTGTTGAGCTGCGGCTGTCTCTTAAGGCTGGGTATGTGCCACCAGACCTCCCAGTGACCTCTCAGACCTTGGTTTGGCATACCAAACTGTGCCGGGGCCTTCCTCCGTGTGATGCGTGTACCTTACTAGCGAGAATGTGGAGGTGCTCTCCAAATGAGCTGGTCAATGCTCACAACCCAGCCTGCATTGTAACCATCCTGTGGACCTTCTCTCCCCCCCACCGCCGCCCTCCCTGCCTCCCTCCAGTCAGCCAGGCTGCTGCATTGTTTTGGGACGCAAACATACACACGTTATTAGAACCCCAGATCAAAGGCGGCATCCCACAGCCTGCCTCTCAATGGTCCCTTTGTGCAGACAGAAGCCTGCACAAAGTCAGAACCCAGGGACAGAGGGAGGGGTTGGGGAGGGGGGCGCTCAGTACAAAGATATTTGTCACCCAGAGAAGTCCGCAGATCATGAAGCTAAAAGGGGCGCCAGGTGGAGGATGCACCCCCAGTAGCTGTGGGAAGATGCAAACAGAGGAGAAAACACCCATCCCTGCGGTTTCAGAGGGGAGGACGGCCGCGGCCCGTGGCCCAGTGCATGGCCCCCATCTGTCCCCCTGCCCTGGCTGGGAGCGGAAGCTGCTTGGAGCGATTGGGTGGCAGTGACCCGTTGGGCACAGAGTCAGAAGAAACAAAAATGATGTGGGAGGGGCCTGGAGAGGACCCGAAGAGGCCATGGGGGACAGTGTCCCCTCCAGTCAGATGGGTTCATGTGCTGTCATTCCTGCCTACAGCAGACATTTTTTAAAAAAATAAATCATTGTTCCACTATATGCTAACTAACTTGGATATAAATTTTAAAAAGTAAATAAATTATAGAAAAATAAACTTGTTTTCATGTTTACTTATTATTATTATTTTTTTTTTAATGTTTATTCACTTTTGAGAGAGAAAGAGAGAGAGACAGACAGAGTGCAAGTGGGGAAGGGGCAGAGAGGGAGGGAGACACAGAATCTGAAGCAGGCTCGGGGCTCTGAGCTGTCAGCCCAGAGCCTGATGTGGGGCCTGAACTCATGAACTGTGAGATCATGACCAGAGACAAGTCAGGTGCTTAACCGACTGAGCCACCCAGGTGCCCCAACTTACTATTGTTTTTAATGTTTTATCTATTTTTGAGACAGAGAGAGAGAGAGAGAGACAGAGCATGAGCAGGGGAGGGGCAGAGAGAGAAGGGGACACAGAATCTGAAGTGGCCCCAGGCTCAGAGCTGTCAGCACAAAGTCCGATGCAGGGCTTGAACTCATGAACCGCGAGATCATGACTCCAGCCTAAGTTAGATGTTTACCTGACTGAGCCACCCCGGCTCCCCTATGTTTGCTTATTTCTGAGAGAGAGAGAGAGAGAGAGAGCACAAGTCAGGGAGGGGAAGAGAGAGAGGGAGACACAAAATCCGAAGCAGGCTCCAGGCTCCGAGCTGTCAGCACAGAACCTGAAGTGGGGCTCGAACCCACGAACTGGGAGATCATGACCTGAGCCCACGTCGGACGCTTAAACGCCTGAGCCACCCAGGCGCCCCAACATTTCTAAAGCCCGTACTGTGGGCCAGGCATGGAGAGGTGAGGCCGGCACAGACCCGACGAACTCAGGCTCAGGCCCCCACGCAGAGAGCCGGCTTCTCTGCTGTGACCAGGGCATCAGGGAGAGCTGGCATCCGCCAGGGTCCTGCGCTGGAGGCCCTAAGCGTTTCACACACATTGTCTCGTTTATCTCTAGGGCTGGTTGGAACAAAGAAGTACTTTGAGAGTTCAGCTGCTGAGCCAGGAATCTGCCAGCCTGGGGGGCGGTACAGGCGGTGGTGAGCAGGTACGAGAAGAATTACCGAGAAGAGAGGGGGTTTCTCTAGGAGGGGAACCCACGAGGACCGAATGGAGTCCAAGAGGTCGCGGGGGTGCTGAGATTCTAAGAAGACACTTGCTGACCCTTAGACTTGGCAGGGTCCCAGGGTTCTATTCTGTTCTCTGTCTCCACTCCCTCCCCAGGGGATCACGTCCAATGTCAGGCTTTAAATTGCTTCTAGATGCTCATGATGCCCAGGTGTATCTCTCTAGCCGGCAGCTTGCTTCTGAACCCTAGGCTCTCGGATCCACCTGCCTACTTGACCTTGCTGCTTGGCTATGCAACAGGCCTCTTCCAAGTAGCTGCTCAGACGGAGCCCCCGGGGTTCCCTGCCCTGCGCACAGCTCCATCTGCAGGCTCCCTCCTTCCCAGGGATCAGGACAGGAGCTCTGGCATCTCACACAACTCCTCTTTCTCTCCCCCACCCCCGTGTCCACTGTATTAGCTAACCTCATTGCCTCTGACTTCCAAATACAGTCATATCCTACGTCTCACCTCCTTGGCTGCTATCACTCAGGTGTAAGCCACCATCATGTCACAACAGCGTTGCTGCAGTCACCTTGTCACTGGTCTCCTTGCTTCTGCCAGGCCTCATGCTGCCACCCCCTAATCCACATTCTGCTTGAAGCACGGTAGCCCGGGCACTCCAGGTCACAATTCTCTGTCGACCCCCTCTCCCTCGAGTAAAGCTGAAGCCCTTGGCAAGGCCCACAAAGTTCTCAGGATGAGCCTTCCCACCTGGCAAGCTCAGCTTCCCCTCCCCCTTGAACATCCCATCCCCACACCCCCATGCTTCGGAGCCACAGCCCACCTTGTACCCAAAACATTCACATTATGTCCCTGCCTCAGGACCTTTGCACTAGCTGTTCCCTGCCTGGATCTGCTTTCCCTCCAGTATCCTTATGCATCCTTATAGCTCCCTTCTTCATTTCCAAGTCTGCACTCAAAGACTACTCTCTGACCCCCCCCCCCCCCCCCCCCACCTAAGATTGCAAACCCTTCCTTGGTATTTCTTCTCCCTCTTTCCCACTTGATTTTTTCCCCCATAGACACACCATTTATTTCACTGACTTATTTTTGTCTATTTTCTTAACATAAGAGCCTGGTATAAATTAGGCCTGCTTCACATCTTTGTGGAATGACTTAATTAGTAAAAGAGAAACACGTTTATTTCTCGGGTCCCCCCTCCCTGACTTCTGTCCCTCCTTCTCCAAGTCCTGCTACTTCCTCAGAGAAGAAGCAAGTTATAAACCCTCGCAGCTGCTGCGAAGGCATGGCTTTCCTGGGCTTCAAAGGCGGTCTACAGACCAGCGGCAGCAGTCGGATCTGGGAGATTGTTAGAAATGCAGATTCTCAGGTCCCACCCCAGACTGCATTTTAACAGCATCTCAGGGGATTCGTCTGCATGTTAAATTCCAAGGAAGCCTCCTCTCTAGCCCCCTGAGAAAGGGGGGCCAAGGGCCTGTCAGGGACCCAAGGTCAGAACACACAGGCAGAAGTAACAAGGTTAAGAGCTGGGGATAGGCAGTCTCGGGGACTGAGACAGTCTGTCGTGTGGCTCTCTCCACCTGGTTTGCTGTCTCTGCTTCTCTCTGCTCCTGCTCCTGCTTCTTTTTGCTTGTTCCTTGGCTCACGTGGGCCCCAAGGAGCCGCTGCAGGCCCCGGGACTATGGAGCCCTTCGGTTTTGGAGACCGCCAGCATGCCGACCACAGGCCCTGGGCCTCTCACTTCAAATTCTGCAAAGAGATCCTGGCTCATGAGTCAGGCATCCAACCAGCTGTGGCCAAGGAGTGAAGGGGCCACGGGGTACCAACATGGCAGCAGGGCCCCCCTGAAGCTGCGCTCTGTGGGATGGATGGAGAAGATTCTGGTGGTGGAGGCCATGGAGGAGGAGGGGGAGGAAGGGGAGGGGAAGGGAAAAGAGGAGGAGGGAGAGAGGGCCGGTGAGGCCAGCTGGCCATGAACTTCCCTGTAGTGACCCTCTTCCTTCTTGCCTCACACTGTGGCCGTGGAGCCTCGTGCACAGGGGTGTCCAACTGCCCAGAGGCCTGGAGGCGGGCGAACACGTCCTGAGACACGCTAAGTGCCCGCCGTAGACACACGCGGGTGCATGCCTTCAGGGGGCCTTCCCACGCCGGCTCTGTCCTCACTGAGTTTCCTTCCTGCCACCGTCGTAGGCTAGGCCCCTG